AACACAAAACTTTCCTAACCTTGTCTGAATTTGTTTGTTGTATACCTTTGTGTAATGAAATCTTTTGGCATAAGATTGTTTAAAACTTGCAATCACAATTTACCTATTCCCCATCCTCATCAATATGAAAGCTGAAGTCCAGTGTGTAAATTAAGCTTAGAAGGTTAAATAGTTTCAGGCTTTTTTATGAGCTATTATTATCTTCATTATTTATGAGTCTCTTTGTTGTAATGTTCTTCAGTTGAGGTTATTGAACTGTAACCTCCTATCAGAGTATCTTTAATTAGACTAGCTTTTCCCAATACATTAGAAAGCATAATGAAGAGAGTGCCATTTGATTTTCTGCTGTTTTTACACTACACTACTTCAAATGATTGAGTTAGTGGGACTCAGGTCTATAAAGGCTTTTGTGGAGCAGGACAAAATGCATGATGGAAATCTCTGAGTTCATTACCTTTTTTGTGGTGATGAAAATACTCTAATGAAAGAAAGGAACTTTCCCCTTTAGATAGAAATGGTCTTACTGTTTTTACCATGAAGAAAATGAAGAGTCTAGTCTAGTAGGATGGCCATCTGGCCTCATGTTGAATCTCTCAATGCCTTTTGGTTGCTCAGCTCTTACCCTGCCGTATTCTTAACACTTTTGGTGTAATGTATTCCCAATTGGTTTATTAGCCGCTTGGCTTGAGTCACTCTGTGTTTGCCATTCCTTTAGTACGTTCAGAAGCCCACTTAAAGACACCATATGCCTAAAATGCCTTAAGGATAGCCTATGCCTCTGGCTATTTTTATGTCCTGGACATCATTTTTGGTAGTCTTGAAAGAACTCAGTGCCTGAGGGTTCCTGCTATAATTTTGTCTCAGAAGTATTTTGTCTTAAGAGGGGAATTCTCCCCACTTTATGTAGATTTTATATAGAAATAGCCCAGTCTGAAAATTTTGTCTTAAGAGGGATTTTTCTCCATTGTATTTAGATCTTGTATAGAAATTTCCCTGTCTGAAAATTCTGGGATTTAAAATTATTACTTTGTTACTGTTAACAGAATCCCTGGATTCTCCTCATAGATTTGTTTTCTTTATATATTTGAAGTACCACTTTCCTGAAATTTTCAGAAGCAGTTATATATATTAGTGGATTGATGGGTTTTATTTGACTTTATCAGTAAATAAAGCTAAATGGGAAAAATCTGACAGGATAAAATAAATGTCCTAGTTTGATAAGTAAAAAGTAGTTTAGGATCCAGTTCTGCCAGTTTTATTGATAACTGTGCAACATCTGAAATCCATGATACTATTTGCAAAAAAGGTAACACTCAAGTTGAATATGGGCAACCACTGATGAGGAAAAGATGGCTATGGCAGTAGGAATGCAATGCTTCCCACTCTTCTGTTAAACCACTTAGGGATTGCCACTGTCATCTAGAACACCTAGAGCAGTTAACAAAGTTAACAAAATCTACGATCTACTCTTCTTGCACATTTTAAGAGAGAGACATTCAGTCCATGAAATAAATCTCCAAAATAATTTGCTCACCCATCTGATAATTATTTTTTTCCTTTTAAGGTTCCAGTCTTACATGTGTGTGACATCACTTACACCTCTATAGGACATCACTCGGTATAGCAGCTGATCCATTCTGATTGTATCGAAGGATCAAGGTATGAAAAATTGCTCTCCAGTACTTTTTTTT